TTCTATATGGGATGTGGCGATCAAAACGAAGAAAAATATAATGGTCGAATCGCTCAAATCTAGCGTTTGTGAGCACGATTTCCTGATATAACGGTCGTCAATTGGCTCTTGATCAATGTTGTGCAAAGTACGTTGAAGTAATCACATCATGACGTTATCGAAGAGCATATTTACTAAACAGAGAAATTATGCCTAGAGCAGTCTTCAGTTCTTAAAAGTATTTCAATAGTTATAAGTGAGCTGGTTTCATCATATCTAATGTTTGCTTCAATATCTTCAAAAGTGAGACGTTCCTTTTAAGTCTCCCGCCGCACGAAGACCCGAGCCACAGGTCGCCTGCCAAGCGTCCGACGGGCCGCGAGTCAATCACCGCCCGGATCGCAACGCCCCGGGCACCGCGACCTCCGACCGCCGAGCGGACAGGCCGCCCCGCGCGGCCGTGGACTTGTCGGCTGACACGTGTAACACCATTACACATATACTTCAAGAAGTGCTCCACATTTGTATGAGGTTTTGAACTGAGCTAACCGTTTTCAAGATCATTCAGTGCAGCTCATGGTCATGTTCTTTTGAAGGCTTAAAACCCTCTTGTTTCTGAGCTCGCCCCCCCCCCCCCCGCGAACTTGTACAACCTTCGCATGCTGACTTTCAAAATTACCCAGACGTTCAAAACGCCAAGAAAACGTCACGTAAATGCCACCACATCATTGGTCATGTATTGCTCGAGGCCAAGAACAAACATGATCATAGAAATCATTTGTGTTTGGCGTACGTCAGCACTATCCATGGCATCAGCGAACATCAGTTGGCCCGCGACCATTTTGATGTGGTCAGTGCAAGTTCCTAACACAAATCACGTTTTGCGCCATAGAACACAGTGGTACGGGTTATGGCGGAAGTAATGACAATTTATAAACCCTTTTGGGAATATGGGACCCAAGTAATTTCAGAATAGGGCCATAAACGAGTATGTAAACTTAAGTAACCATCATCAAATCACGGACAAGCACACAAGAACATCACGAGAAAGAGTCAGAACATACGCACATAATGATATTCGGGTTTCGCAAACACGTGCGACGCGCGCGTCATCTCTCGGCATGTTGAAGCACTGCAAATGAGTTTGCCCGCCCGCTGCAGTGATAATTGTGACACGGCCATCTGGCAGCAACTCTGATGTATTGCAAGCATCCCATGGACGGTTAAACGGTGGCGTGCTGCGGAGCTTCTTTACTAGATAGTGAAAGAAATGTTAACGAGAAAGGAGACATTCTGTTGAGCAGTATCTTACACTTAAAGGCATTTCAGTGATTGCAATTGGGCTTATTTCATCATGTCTGATGCTTGTCTCAATGTCTTCAAATACGGAACACTCCTTAAATAGGCAGGAATTGTGTCAACCCGCTTCACCTAAAGCATCAAGCAATCAATAAAGGGAGGTGACCCCGTCACCAAACAGTTCAATGTTGGCCACCGCTCGCTGCCGGGCCGTGTACCAATCCGTCTCTCCGTCCCGATAGCATACAGCATGGGACTTGAATCAGTCCGTCTCGATAACTCACTTGATTAGGGCGCTTGCCTTCCGATCCACCCACCCGTGGTGGAGTGGGTTCAAGTATATTTGGCCGCTCGCTATTTGCCATTGACAGGTATGGCCTGCGGCTACTGACAGAGGCCGCGCTGAAGGTCAGAGGGCGTCAGAGGACAGGACGGACTATGCTGAGCATTGCGGCAAGGTAATTAATTTCGCCATGAAATTCTGCCATTGACCTGGAATTGCACGATCGATTGATAGGGGTCAGGGCTCACACAACAAGCAGTACTTAGCGTGAGCTCCAGGAGTGAATCCAGGACTTCGTCAATGTGCAGGGCACGCAACATTGTGGAGTTTGGAGCCCTTTAAAAAACATAATCGTATTCCGGCCATTAAATTTTGACATTTCGAGCATGATTTTTGCATACGCGAACCCATCTTACTGAATATGGGCCTAGAAAATTAGGTGTGCCACGCATGCACATGCATGGAGCTTATTTATTTTCTCCAGATCATGTTGCTATTTGATGTCATGGTGTCATTTGCTGTCATTTTGAAGCTAAGTATTTCAGAAAAACGTTGTAAAATATGCTATAGCTGCTGCTAAATACCATCAAGACCAAGCACGAACAAGATTTCTAGCTTATTACGGCTAGCTGGCTGGTCGATGCGATCAGCTGATGTTTGATAACTAATGCGGAGTTTTTGCTTTGCCTGTCATGAAGGAGAAGAAAGTATCCTAGCATTCCTAATGTGTTAAGAACGTGATTAACAAGTATAATAAGTGTCACAAATTCTGTAGCCAACAGAAATGACATGCGAGGTCAGCGTCACGTAAAATTATTTGTCAGACAATTGCTCTTCAGATTTCACCAGCGCATATCAGACTGCTGCTTTGTGGTTAAGGCATCAAGGTCAATAGGGATGGAACCTGAGCAGGTCAAGGGGGCCGCGGTAAGTCAACAAGAGGTTCCCGTCAACATAAAGGAGAGCAAGCGAGAAGAATCCAAGAGCAAGGTGGTGGACTCCTGAACGACCGTGAGTGCCTCAGCAGACCGACATATAGGGCCCCGGGCCAGAGCACAGTACCCTCTGAGCAAAGTGAAATTAGCCGAGTTCATTGTACACATTGTGCGATCAAAAGTTCCCAAGCAGTTTGAAGGGAATGTTTCACATATATATGGGGTTTTGAATTGAAAGAGCCATCTTGAAGACCTTTCGGTGCTGTTCACAATCCTGCTCTTCTTAAGGTCTAAGCGCCTGTAGTTCCTGAGTTACTCGCTCGCGACAATGGAGAGAGTATATTGGGAAGACTATTTTAAGGTCACCTCGGCATTCATGACCTAATCATAATTGCATTCAAATCCTGCCATTCCATAAGTCATGTGGTGATCAACGCCGAGACAAATTTTACCGTCCAAGCGTTCATATCTGGCGTTCGTGAGCGCGGTTTCCAGATTTAACGGCCGTCTTTTGGCTCTCAGTCAATGCTGTGTAAGGTACGATGAGATAATCAAACCATGGCGCACTGAGCAATAAATTTATTAAACAGAGCATTGTGCTGTCTAGAGCAGCCTTTTCCAGTTAAAAAGTATGCTAAGAATTATAAGCGAGCTTGTTTCATAATACCTGATGCTTGTTTCAACATCTCAAAATGTGAAATATTCCCTTTGACAGAAAGGCCCGATAGGAGTATAGGGTCGTCCGTAGATTGAGATGAGATTAAGGGGAAAGAGCCCTAGATCAATGCAGGGGACCTGTTAGCATCGAGTGGCTCGGTGCCTTACCATATATGGTCACCAGCAACAGCACAAGGCCCTCCGAGCGAGTGGAAAGGACTCGAAACCAATGTGAAGGGCCCGTGAGCAACTGAGTGTACCCTGTCATATGGGGCCCCAGCGAGAGCGTATAGAGCCTTTCGGGCGAATGGGAAGAATCCGTGGAGGGCCCCTGATCGATCAAGAATGACCCGGCATGCTAGCAGATAGTGCCCCAACAGGAGCGCACAGCCCTATGAGAAAATGCAAATAGGTCAAGAGCAAAGTAAAAGGCTCCTTAGCGGCCGGATTGATCCGCTGAGAGGACATATAAGGTCCCGACAACAGCGTAAGACCCTTGGACAGCGTAATGAACCTCGAAACTTTCGCCAATGACCAAACCTTCAATCAACGAAGAACTAACTTTGTCTGCTTACGGGACTTCATTTTTGCTTGCGATTCTTCTTGGTCGTCTGGAGGCCCAAAGACGTCCAATTTCGTTGTGTTTTGTGTTTAAGAAAACTGCGTCCGTTCGTCCGGTTATGGGCCCCTTCGGAGCCTACGGGTCCATAAGTGCACAAAGGGTCATGGTCCCGCGCTCTCTCTCTGGATTCGCCGCTGGTGCGAACAGCTCAATAGATGGGGTCCGACAAGAACATAGGGCCGTCGATTCAACTTAGAAGTACGCAAGCTGCAACACGGTGGGCCCAGGAATGTTCGGGTGTGCCTGAACAGGTACACAGATGAGGGCCGCGAGAGAGAGAGAGAGGGAGAGAGAGAGAGAGAGAGAGGGAGATCTCTCTCTCTCTCTCTCTCTCTCTCTCTCTCTCTCTCTCTCTCTCTCTCTCTCTCTCTCTCTCTCTCTCTCTCTCTCTCTCTCTCTATATATATATATATATATATTGCTATCGGTGCCTTGTCCGAACCTATCCGACCACCTATCCGAACAAAGCTCACGCCGCCAATTGAGCCGCAGCTGAGACGACCGCGGCACTTGGGTGTGGGGGGGGGGAAGGCTCATAACCGCGACGCTACCATTTTTTTCTTCAAATAATGCGCTCCCCCCAATCAATCGCATCGCATCCTCTCAGCGCCAGTGTATGGTGGTTCCCCGGTTTTCTTCTCAAAGCTCCCAGTGCATAATTGAGCGATGATGCCGACAATCCGGGCTGCTGAGAAATCAAACGTGTTATCAGCCTGACTTTTTTTGTACTGGAACAGCACAAACAAAGAGCAAGAACAAAGCAAAAGCAAAACCGCGATGATGGTGTCAAGTATTCAGTTTTGCGTTATATTGCCACTTCGGGCAACACATTGCCAACAGAGTATCATTTTCTGATTGGAGCAGATTCATAATGGCTGCGGAGTTATCACTGTTTTACCATGGATGACAAACACTCTTTAGTTATTCATGGTTTTATAAAGCGCCCTTTCCGTCATCACGTCATTCCGACGTCATCACCGATGGAGAACGGCTGGATGCAGAAGCTCACTCTCTTCCGAATCGCGATTAGACCACGGCTTGCAGACGACATTTTTCTCATATTTGGGATAGCAGTATGCAAAAGTGCACTTACAGTGGTTGAATTGGCGTGAAATGTCCCGATACAACTAATACGTCCTTGCAACCCATCTATATTTTGCCCATCTCTATATAAGACGTCATCAAAATACAAATACAAATATGGCCCTTGTCCTACAAAATACAACAATCATATTAATGGTCTCGAAAGGCACCTTGGTAGGCAGTGTTATGTGGCACCTTGGGCACTGTCGCCTTGGGTTGGTACGATAGTGTTCGTGATATGATATGGTGCATAGGTTCCACTGAAACATATGATTTAGGGAGTTGCGGCACGTAAACTTCGACTGTGGTTCTATTTCGTAGAACTACGCAGGCTGCATTTGTTTGCAATGGATCCTGTTTATCCGGTTTAGGGTGCAGAGGGATTGTGACAGCGTGCGGGCATTACTTTGTATGCTTCCGGGGAGGGGGGTCTGGATTCAAATGGAAATTCATGCCTGCACATGAATTATTCCTGCACATTCCTGCATGATAATTATGGTGAACAGTCAACTTCACTGGCTTCACCCCACAGGTGATATAAGAAATTGACACACTGACTACACTGAGCGTGATAATTGGCCACCTGTGAATCACTACAAACTTTTATGCTTTTGCTACCTTGTTGAGCATGAACTGTTGGAAACAACTATTGGTCAGCACAAAAATCGACAGGGGCTTTGTGGAGCAGATGCCTGTGTATACCACAATGTTGGGGAAATTCAACTAGTAAGTTAATGATACTTCACAAGAACAAATGCTGTGGCGCCAGGCTGGTATCACGTCCATGGGCAAGGTTGGATGTCCCCAAACAGACAGATCCAAATGATATTGCATTTCTAAATGATAATGTTATTTGATAAATGCTGTGAATAGCTGTATGGGCATGCCTGGGATGATCCTTCTGTGGAACAATAGCAACTAGAGCAATAATCATCAGCAACCTATTGTTTGCGTCATGTGCTGCACGGCTCCACCCAGACACTCAAAACAACTTTGAAAACATGTCCAGTGTAGCAGTGATGTTGCAGTACATCACAGAACACAGAATACAAGAGCTCAGATTTTGATGCACTATCACCATCAATATCAGTGCATTGAGAGCCATTGTTTTAGGGAGTTAGCTTATCTCAAGGTCAAGTTTAGACAAAAGTACATAAACCGTTAAAGACCATAAGAATACAAAGGATATTTTAACAAACCATACTTGTAATGCAGCAGTCCATGCTGTTGATATTAAACATGTTTACCAGTCAATTATAAGGAAAGGTTCATTGGTGGTGTTCAAGTGTCACAATGTGTATTTGCATGTATGCATGTCTGTGTTGGCATGTATATGGTAAGAAGCTGTAATGTCTGTTCATGTCAGTGCATTATAACTAAGGTGTGTGATCTATTTCACTTTGTGTGGTGGCATGTGGAAACTTACTTGCAAATGCAAGGGAATTCTTAGTTGTTTCTTCCCATCCCCATCTAACTTTAAAGAGATAATTTGCTGCTGATGGTAGGCAGTGAGCCCATTGTATAGATGTGGATGTTTGTGCTGAGCAAGGCTTATCCTATTTTAGATGTATATTGTATATACTGTACTTCAAGTTCAAGATTTAAGGCAGCAATGGGCAGTTAATGTGTATTTAGAGTAAATGATATGAAATTGCAACCTTCCTAACTTAAGTACTGAAAATTAGTCTGGTTTCCTGGTTTCAGAGCACATGTTTCAGCCATGGAAGACAAAAATGTCAGAGCAGGGATATACAATGCAGGTTTTCTATCAAATGTATGCTGTTGTCAGTCAATCTTTGGTGTCACTCACCAGACTCAATAAATATTTGTATTGGCTAATCAGGTATAGTTATTTGAGTTGGTTGTGAGTGCAGCTGCAAATAAGAACCAGTAAAACAGCTTACTATAGATTTCCAGGTTGCTGGAAAAGCAATATCATGTAGCACATCAATGTGCATTTCTGCATCATGAAAACTTTGAGTGCAAAGCTGTACAGCTTCATTAACACTGAGAAATGCCAGTTTCTAGTAATGTTTGCATCTCACCTTTGAACTTTAAAGCAGAAGAAATATGTTCTATCATTGGTCCAATATATACTAAGTAACAGGTAATGATGTCAAATTGAGTTGGTCAGTGAAAATTTGTAAGGACTACTCAAAGACTTTAAACAGGTTTTATGGATGAGTTTATGCTGATATTATATGTACATGTGGTTGCCATTGGTTTCAGTTCTCTGTTCATTTTTTTAAATGCTTTGTTTCAGGTTGTGTCAATTGTTAAACATGACTGCATCAAGGGTGTGACTGGAAGCTGATATGCTGAAGAGAGCTGCAATTTGAACCACTAGCATTCTGCAACAAGTGAAAGACCTTCATAATGTCCTGGTTAAGTGGATTGGCATCAAAGACAGAAAGTCTTCTGAACTCCTTGGATCAGGGGGCAGCAGTTGCCCTGCAGAAACAGAAAACCAACTACAATGGTGTAAATTCAAAGCAATCATATCGCTTTGATGCTGAGAGAGCTTCCCCAATGTAAGTGTTATGCACTATGCTTTATGATTTTGTAAGCGCAGTATTTTGTTCATTCAGCAATGATGCATCTCTTGCTGTTTATTGTGACAGCTAAACATTGTGTTATCCACCATTAAGTCCGTGATAAAGCATGGTAGTACAAGTCGAGTTCACATGTCATTGTGGTCATGTAAGGCAAAACACAACTGTACAAAAACACGAACTCATGCTCAGCCTTAAGTTGGCCTGTTGTAATGGTGCCGACGCTGCCTCGCCCGTGGCCCCTGACCGGACAGTGTGTGTTTCCTGTGCTGCTGCAGGCCAGTGGCGCCTGTTGCTAGGCCTTCACCGTCTGGCCCTCCGCGCACCCCCTCGCACGGCAGCGGGCTGGGCACGCCGCCCGCCCGCCGGCCGGCCCGCCTCGACCAGGACGAACAGCTGATCGCCTTCCTCAACGACTCCACGCCCGTGAAGCCGTGAGTACGGCTGGCGCATGCGCCTCTGCAAGCGAGGGCAGAGCGAGGGAACCCTGCATCACAAGTGCTCCATGCTGCTCGCATGTTTCTGCAATAGTTGTCGGGTTCGGTGGCCGCTTTGATGCCTTTATTGGCCGCTAGCTGCGCTCGTCAGACTTCAATGTGGCGGACCGCCTCTATCAATGCTCCAGCTCTCCGGTCACGGACTGGCGCCCGGCCTGGGCAGGACTCATGGCTAACGCCTTTACATGGCCGTGCCCACTCGCAGTCCGGATCCCTTGCACAATGCATGGCCAGTGGCATCACTCATTGGTACTGTAGTCATGACCATCCGTGCTGTACAATGATGTATATTACGAGGGACGGCTCGGTTCTGGATGAGCTTGACGCAGTGCGCCAGTGAGCGTGCGTTTGATGCCCGCCGCCGGTACACTCCGGAGGCGGCGGCGGCGGCGCCCTGTGACCTGGACGCTGCCTCTGACGGCCGGCCGTCTGCCGCAGTCGTCCAGCCACTCGCGCCAGTCTAGCGTGTCGTCGGTGGTGTCCGTCGGCAACTTCCTCTCGGTGGCGTCCGGTCTGGAGCCAGGTACGGATGACGGCCTGACTAGGGCCGACTACGGGCGGCGACGGGGCCGGGTACGGGTACGGGTACGGGCGGCGCCTGGGCTGGGGCCGAGCACGAACGGCAGCCGGACTGGGGCGGGATACGGACGTCAGACGGGCTGAAGTCGCATGCGGCCGGCACTTGGCTCGACTTGTGCCCGTTCTGGCGGTCTGCGAGTCCAACTGGCTGGGCTGTTAGTCCCACTGATCTACGGCCAGCTGTCCTGTGGGGCCAATGCCATTCTTCAGATGTGCTTTGCTCACCACTGTACATCAAATATCGCAGCCAGACCTGCGGGCAGACATGTCAGCCACCGTGAGAACCACACTTCGGCTGAACACTACGAATGAATGCCAATGACAGTGGGTGGTCGGCAGTGGTGCGCTGTTGCTGTGCTCCGCTGGTGTCAGTTCCACGTCTTGCGGGCGCGCTATGCCAGCCTGCTGGTAACGCCGCCTGGCCGCCTGTTCGCCGCCAGCGCCCCCGCCGGCGACTCCGGCCGACACGGCCATCGCGATGCCGGCTGGCAGCGTGGAGAACGGCGCCCACCCGGAGCCGGACCAGGTGCGCATGCTGCAGAAGGAGATCGCCAACCTGAACCGCGAGATGGCGCAGCTGGTGCAGCGCGCCAAGCTCGGCGAGAAAGGTGGGGACGGCTGCAGGACGGCTGCCGGGCCGGCGAGAAGCGCCACGGCCGCCGGATGGCGAGTGATCCGTCATACCCGGGTCAGACTCCGCGGATCGGGCCAGTTGCGGGTTTGTGTAGCGGTGAATGACTGGGACGTGCAGTAATTATTGTGTGTGGTTTTCAGGCATCGATCGTGCGCCCTCCGGTATTTTTCCGACTGCGCGAAAGCAGGGACTCACTAAATCGACCGTGGGCTGCCCATTTCTCCCCGAGTATCGGGATAGCCCGTAGCCTTCTTTCATTGTAACTGCAAGCACGGAACAAACATGATATAGTCGATGATGCATTTAATGGTGACGTATTCAATTCTAGTATCACGAGCTGTTTCGCTGGTAGTTTATCAGGCGAGCCATGCTCCTCAGCCGTGGAGCAGTTTGATGACCTTGACTGCGTGCGAGCTGGCCTATGGCCGGTGAACGCTTCCCTCTCGGTGGGGACAGCCCGTGACCGCGTGGTGAGTGGTCGTCTCGCCGCAGACTGCACCAAGCTGAAGTACCAGCTGACGACGAGCGGCAGTCAGCTGGCTGAGACCGAGCGGCAGTGCCGTCACCTGCAGCAGCGCGAGGCCGATCTGCAGGAGTCGCTGACCGCCAAGGTAGGTGGGAGTGGCCCGGTATGTGCCGGCGCCCTGCTCCCAGCGGCCTCCTCAGGGCTCGGACGGTGGCGGCCTGCTCCCAGCGGCCTCCTTAAGGCTCAGGCGGCGGCGGCCTCCGCAGGACTCAGGCGCCGGCGGCCCGCTCCCAGCGGCCTCCGCAGGACTCAGGCGCCGGCGGCCTGCTCCCAGCGGCCTCCTCAGGGCTCAGATGGCGGCGGCCCGCTCCCAGCGGCCTCCTCAGGGCTCAGATGGCGGCGGCCCGCTCCCAGCGGCCTCCTCAGGGCTCAGATGGCGGCGGCCCGCTCCCAGCGGCCTCCTCAGGGCTCAGATGGCGGCGGCCCGCTCCCAGCGGCCTCCTCAGGGCTCAGATGGCGGCGGCCCGCTCCCAGCGGCCTCCTCAGGGCTCAGATGGCGGCGGCCCGCTCCCGGCGGCCTCCTCAGGGCTCAGATGGCGGCGGCCTGCTCCCGGCGGCCTCCTCAGGGCTCAGACACGTGGCCAGAGCGCCCCAGGGGATGGGCTTTCTCCCGTCCGCGGACCACCGCCAGTCCCAGCGGACCCCTCAGGGGCCAGGCACGTGGCCGGAGCGCCCCGGGGGGTGGACTTCTCGCGTCCGCGGACCACCGCCAGTCCCAGCGCACCCCTCAGGGGTCAGACACGTGGCCGGAGCGCCCCAGGGGATGGACTTCTCCCGTCCGCGGACCACCGCCAGTCCCAGCGGACCCCCCAGGGTTCAGGCACGTGGCCGGAGCGCCCCGGGGGTGGACTTCTCGCGTCCCCGGACCACCGCCAGTCCCAGCGCACCCCTCGGCCAGCGTGCCGGCACCACGCTGTTGAGTCTGTCAATGTCTTGTATCCTCCGAGTCTGTAGAGGTAATGTTTCCAATGTCTTGTATCATTCGAGTGTGTATAGGTAATGTTTCGATTTCATTACTGCCCATCATCTCGCGCCAGTAATTCCTTCACGGGTTACTGACAACGTGGTCATTCGACGCGAGATAGGTAAAATTTGATTGCGAGTCTTTGTGGTCCTCGTTGTGACTAAAAGGATTACACGTGGGGCTGTAATCCACCTTTGGAAGAGAAGTAGGATGTCAGTTGTGCTGCAAGTGGCTTGGCTTATATTCCAGTTTGAATCGCAGTCCTTTGTGAACCAGTTACCTTACTATTTTGGAATGCCTTTAAATATGCGGCGAAGCATGCGTCCCTAGTGTTCTCATCAGGGTGTTTGCGTAACCCACTGACCTAACCCGCACGGCGGCCCGAAACGTGTGATAAGTATATGTAACTGAACTCAAACCGTGTTTTGTTCCTGTTCACGATTGTGCGTCCGGCTAGTAACAAGTTGATGGCCGATGCTAATACCCGGTGATGATAATGATGCTCGAGCTTCAAGCATAATTAGGTCGAACAGTCGAACAGAACAGTCGAAGCGCACACGCCGATGTTCTTGTCGGTAATGCCTCCGATCAGAGAGGGTTGCCGCAGGCGAAGCTGGCCATTATGGAGGTGCTGGGGAGGGCTGTCGTATTGGTTTGAGGTGTTTGAGGCCCCACACTAGAACGGAAAAGACGCAAACAAGTCATGTGTGGGATGATTTATCATCGTCTCTGGGATAGGCATCACGATTATGTGCAGCTGTAGCTCGGTGCATATTAAGGTATATACATGCATTGTAATACAAATCCCATCAGATTTTCCATAGCACCATACTCTGCCATGATAAACAAATTATTGCAACAATGTGACTTGTAATCTTCGTTACGATGAATGTTTAGGGTGCCACTGGTGCATTGCCAGTGCCCTTAAAATGACTTATTCGCCTTCCACCATGAGTCTCCACGTGTGCGCAACCATCGTATTTCGCTGATGCCAGCGCTGCTGAGCTGGGGCCTGGTGCGCGCGCCGGTGGGCAGTGTGCGCGGAGCCGTGACCTGGATGACGTTGTCATCAGGACGGCCAGCTGGCGGTGCTGAAGGTGCGGCTGGACGAGGCCGACGAGGAGCTGCGCAGCCGACAGGCCGCCGTCGACCGGCTGCAGCTGGAGAACGACAGGTGAGCTGGCCGGTGTCCGACACCGCCGTCCCCGCCACACTGTCAACCCTGCTACACCGCCGACCCAGCCACACTGTCAACCCTGCCACACTGCCGACCCTGCCACACTGCCGACCCAGCCACACTGTCAACCCTGCCACACTGCCGACCCTGCCACACTGCCGACCCAGCCACACTGTCAACCCTGCTACACTGCCGACCCAGCCACACTGTCAACCCTGCTACACTGCCGACGCAGCCACACTGTCAACCCTGCCACACTGCCGACCCAGCCACACTGTCAACCCTGCCACACTGCCAACCCCGCCACACTGTTAACCCTGCTACACTGCCGACCCAGCCACACTGTCAACCCTGCTACACCGCCGTCCCCGCCACACTGTCAACCCTGCTACACTGCCGACCCAGCCACACTGTCAACCCTGCTACACTGCCGACCCAGCCACACTGTCAACCCTGCTACACTGCCGACCCAGCCACACTGTCAACCCTGCTACACTGCCGACCCCAGCCACACTGTCAACCCCGCCACACTGTCAACCCTGCTACACTGCCGACCCCGCCACGCTGACAACCCTGCCACACTGCCGACCACGCCACACTGTCAACCCTGCTACACTGCCGATCCCGCCACACTGTCAACCCCGCCACACTGCCGACCCCGCCACGCTGACAACCCTGCCACACTGCCGACCCCGCCACACTGCCAACCCTGCCTCACTGTGAACCCTGTCTCACTGTCAGCCCTGCCTATCTGTCAACCCCGCCACACTGCCAACCCTGCCTCACTGTCAACCCTGCCTATCTGTCAACCCCGCCACACTGCCAACCCCGCCACACTACAACCCCCGCTACACCGCCAACCCTGCACACTGTCTGTCCCGCCACACTGCCAACGCTGCCAGGACACAGCTGTGATCAGAATCCTACAGCACTGTGACCTGGCCTGACCTGACCTGGCAGGATCCTGCAGTCATCGAGCGACACGTCTGGCCTGCAGTCAGGCACCATCCAAGGCCTGCAGGACCGGCTGCAGGAGGCCGAGACCCGCACCCGGCAAGAGCAGCAGGCGCTGGCCACAGCCCAGCAGGAGCACGAGCGCGCAGGTCAGAGAGCTCGCCTTGCCCATCCAACCCAACCCAATCCTACTCCACCCCACCCCACCCCCACCCCACGCCACGCCACTCAAGCCCACGCCACCGAATGCGTGTGCTCAGGCCACATCAGATCAGCTGGCGGCCAGGGTGATAACGGGCATGCTGCCTTCTGTCGGGCAGTAAGTTAATCGCGTTAAGCAAGAAGCCATGCGCAACGGAAAACTGGGAGTCAGCAAACAGTGGGCGGTGAGGACCAACCTTCCATGTGGTCTCCACTTACGTCAAATATCAGTGAGAATATCAGTCCAGCATGTCGCATGTCATGCTGCAGTCTCTGGCACACTGATTGCCACATTATACACCAGTGTAAGAAGACTGTGTAATCGCAGGCCGTATAAACGATTCCCGTTACACCCAAAAGAAGGAATTTGCATCCATTGAATCCTTGCAAAGGTTCTCAGAGTCCCTGGTCTCGTTCCGCTCGTGTTGGCGGCCGTCGGCGCGGCCTGTCGGGCGGCCCGGATCAGGTTCGGTCGGAGGTGACACCAGCAGAGGTGTCGCCTGCCATGTGAGACGGACATCGTCTCCGTGTCCGGGATCAGGTCCGGTCGGAGGTGATACCAGCAGAGGCGTCGCCTGCCATGTGAGACGGACATCGTCTCCGTGTCCGGGATCAGGTTCGGTCGGAGGTGATACCAGCAGAGGCGTCACCTGCCATGTGAGACGGACATCGTCTCCGTGTCCGGGATCAGGTCCGGTCGGAGGTGATACCAGCAGAGGCGTCACCTGCCATGTGAGACGGACATCGTCTCCGTGTCCGGGATCAGGTCCGGTCGGAGGTGATACCAACAGAGGCGTCACCCGCCATGTGAGACGGACGTCGTCTCCGTGTCCGGGATCAGGTCCGGTCGGAGGTGATACCAACAGAGGCGTCACCCGCCATGTGAGACGGACATCGTCTCCGTGTCCGGGATCAGGTCCGGTCGGAGGTGATACCAGCAGAGGCGTCGCCTGCCATGTGAGACGGACGTCGTCTCCGTGTCCGGGATCAGGTCCGGTTCGGAATGATGGAAATAGAGGTGTCACCTGCCACGGGAGACGGACACCGGACACCGTGTCCGGCTTAGGCCGGGTCCTAGATGATAGTAGCAGAGGTGTCACCTGCCACGGGAGACGAACACCGTTACCGTGTCCGTCGTCAGGCCGGGTCCAGGATGACAGCAGCCGAGGTGTCTCCTGCCATGGGAGACGGACACCGTTACCGTGTCCGGGATCAGGTCGCTCAAGGCCGCCACTCTGAAAAACAACGGCCGCGTTTTATTACGGCATTTTTCTCGGTGCTGAAAAGAATCGTGCACAATGACGGCACGCCAGGCCGCCGGGGCGGCTGCGGTCGACAGGAAAAAGGCGCCACAGGTGCAGTCAGGGCCGGCCGTCGCCAGGAAAGGACGGCGGGCGCGAGGGTCGCGTCCGGCTGGCGGGCGCCGCCGTCTGGTCCCTGCTGTCGCCGGAATGTCTGCGAAACGGTTGATGTGGACTTCGGGTTGCATCACTGTGTCACCTGCCATTCTGGTTTGGTGGTTGGTCACTTCGTGCCCCGGGATATTTTTATGACAAGACGTTTGTCAGTATCAGCACTCGGGGCTGCGCTGCCTGAAATTACAATGGTCGCCGTCGAATTCCTCCTAACAAACTTGTTCCTCTGTCCCCTCCCCGTCTGATACTTGCGTCATGCTTGTCCGCGGGCTGGAGTCCTTTCTCTTGCTATGCAAGTGAACGATTTCATGTCTTAACTGGAACATTCCGACCTCCGGTAGTGTTGTTATAGTCGGAGAAGTCACTGTATATGTTTGACTGGCCGTCGTTATATGTGGATGAAGGCACTGTTTGTCGTTGGCAACCGACTGACTCGCATTCGACGCGCTGGAACGGCCTCGCCAGGTGACGTGTTCAGCCGCTGTGCGAGCGGGTTGTCCGCTGTCCATCTACTATCCACCGTGATGTACGTGCACAGGGTGGAGCAGCTGTGCGCGCCGAGCGGGAGAGCCTGTCGGTGGAGCTGGCGGCGGCGCGGCAGCAGCTGCAGCTGCAGCAGAGCAGCGGCTCCGAGCTGGAGCGCCGGCTGGCCGAGAGCCGGCTAACCGCCGAGTCGGCCGCCGCCGAGCTGGCCGAGTACAAACTGAAAGGTTAGCGACTGGCCGCTTGCCGCCGAGTCGGCCGCCGCCGAGCTGGCCGAGTACAAACTGAAAGGTTAGCGACCGACCGCTTGCCGCTGAGTCGGCCGTCGCCGAGCTGGCCGAGTACAGACTGAAAGGTTAGCGACCGGCCGCTTGCCGCTGAGTCGGCCGCCGCCGAGCTGGCCGAGTACAAACTGAAAGGTTAGCGACCGACCGCTTGCCGCTGAGTCGGCCGTCGCCGAGCTGGCCGAGCACAGACTGAAAGGTTAGCGACCGGCCGCTTGCCGCTGAGTCGGCCGCCGCCGAGCTGGCCGAGTACAAACTGAAAGGTTAGCGACCGGCCGCCGGCGCCGAGCGCAGCCACTCTTCAGCTCGGGGTCGCTGGCGGGCGTGTGTGGAGACGGCGGCGGGCTGGCAGCACACGTTACATATATCCCTGTGAGGTCAGGTCGCCGGAGAGCGGGGTTCGCGCTTTCAGAATGTGGGCGTGGTGGCGGTCACAGTACCGCCCACGTGTCCGGCGCGCGCACTCACAGCCTCTCCTCCCCCCTCTGCTCCCCATCGGCGTGGACCGCTTACGAGTCCATCCAATGTTCTGGTGCTGACTTGAGCTGACGGCGTGTTTCGGGTGGGTGAGCCTCTACCACAGGCGCGGGGGCCTGGCCCGCGCTGCCTGGGTTCCCGGACGGGACGGAGACGTGCGGCAGCCTGAGGCCCACTCGTGCCGCCTGCAGCGCAGCGGATCCTGCAGTCCAAGGACCAGCTGATCGCCGGGCTGAAGGACGGTAGCCGGGGCGGCGACGGCGGCGACCTGCTGAACGCCGAGCTCGAGCAGGTGCGCTCCGAGCGGGAGCTGGCGCAGACCGAAGTGCAGAAGCTGGCCGCTAGAGTGCAGCAGCTGCGAGACGAGCTGCACCAGACGGAGGCGGCGGCGGCTGACGAGGCGCAGGCGGCGGCGGACGCGCTGCGCGAGGCGGAGACGCGCGAGACAGCCGACCGCCGCCTGCGTCAGGAGCTGGAGCAGGAGTTGGAGCAGGCTGGCCAGGTGCGTGTGGGGCGAGCTGCCGCGGGCTGCGAGCGCCAACTCGGAGTCCAGAGAGGATAGCTGTTTGTCCAGAGCACATCACACGTCACATCGCCTGCAGAAAGCTGGGAAGTGTTCGACTGCGCTTGCTGTTTTCAAACGCGTCCGTAGGGGTTCGTGTGTCAGGATATGGCGCGAGCTTGTGGTTCGGGACTCAGGCGCACTGCCTGCAGCGGAGACACGCGGCTTGTCGATTCACATGTCTGCGTGTTGTCTGCAGGAGATGCGCTTTCTACGTGAGGAGATGACGCGTCAGAAGACGCAGGCGCTCACCAGGCTTCAGGAGCGGGACGACGAGATTGAGAAGCTGCGTCGTCAGATCACTTCCAAGCACGTGGCCAGCAGCACAGGTGATCATGATCACCCCACTGGCATGACACACATGGCCCGTAGCATAAGTGATCATGCGTGTCTGGGAAACCGGAGGTACGGGGCTCGATTCCCCGCGGCGCCCGCCCTTCCTGCCGGGGTGAGAGGCAGGCGACGCCATATAGCCTCAGCAGCTGAGTGCGTCATAAAGCCCCAATGGCATGACACACACAGATCATGTGTATCCATGACGTCACACGAGGGCACAAGCGTCCGCATATGGGCCGATCTGTGCGCAGCACTGATCACATAGAAACAACGTAACGTGGGCGTGGGCACACGACTTCCTGACTGGTGCGGCATTGGGTAGTCGGCGCGCTCTAAAGCCCAAGCCATCATCATCATTATCATTATGACCGGCGCCAGGGCCACGGGAGCAGGGCAGATAGAGAGGCTGGGGAGCAGAGCAGACAGAGAGACTGGGGAGCAGGGCCGGCGCCAGGGCCGCGGGAGCAGGGCGGACAGACAGACTGGGGAGCAGGGCCGGCGCCAGGGCCGCGGAAGCGGACTGCTGTGCGGCAGCCTGTGGTCTCATGCACGTGCCGTTGGCTGTGGCGGATGGCTGCCTGGCGCGTGACCTCGGGTGGGGGCCTGACTCGGTTGGGCCACCTGTGTTCAGAGGTGGAGCTGGAGACGCGTCTCCGGTCGCTCACGGAGAACCTGATCCAGAAGCAGACCAACATCGAGTCACTGAGCACGCAAAACAAGTCGCTTGCTGTGCAGCTGGAACGCGCCCAGGTAAGCCACCGGCACAGCTGGGAAGCCTCAAGTGTTAAGTAGCATCATTCATACTGTGATCCCATAGTGAAATTACGTTTCTCATTCTTAGTGTCAGTCTTGATCTATATTCTTGTCTTGTACCCGACGCAAGTTACGGCATCAGGTCACGCCATTCAGCGACTTTAATATATAATGTATATATATATATATATATATATATATATATATATATATATATTCATCGACTTTCTATACCTTAGTCATTGGGACATCAGATCAACATCGACTCATGTGTGGATGATTGTTATAAATGAAAAACCGACGTAGCAATTAACTAGTCATTTCTTCCTCGCGGAGCCCTATTAGTTGTGCGGACGCTGTGGCTCTAAGAGTCATGCACCTGAACCTGTTCGGGGCCTCTGGCGTCGCTGTACGTCGCGCGGACATTGGCGTGTCGTACCGTTCCGCCGAACGCCGCCGTGTCCGTACAGACCCTGCCGCGCTGGGCTCCTATGACCTTGCCGGCGCCGCTGAGCTCGGCCTGGCGTACCGAGTCCGTCCGGCCGCCGACACGTGCCGGCGTCGCTGGGCCCGACCTGGCGTACCGAGCCCGTCCGGCCGCCGACACGTGCCGGCGCCGCTGGGCCCGGCCTGACGTACCGAGTCCGTCCGGCCGCCGACACGTGCCGGCGCGCTGGGCCCCGCCTGACGTACCGAGTCCGTCCGGCCGCCGACACGTGCCGGCGCCGCTGGGCCCCGCCTGACGTACCGAGCCCGTCCGGCCACCGACACGTGCCGGCGCCGCTGAGCTCGGCCTGACGTACCGAGTCCGTCCGGCCGCCGACACGTGCCGGCGCCGCTGGGCCCCACCTGACGTACCGAGCCCGTCCGGCCACCGACACGTGCCGCGCCGCTGAGCTCGGCCTGACGCACCGAGCCCGTCCGGCCACCGACACGTGCCGGCGCCGCTGAGCTCGGCCTGACGTACCGAGTCCGTCCGGCCACCGACACGTGCGGCGCCGCTGGGCCCGGCCTGGCGTACCGAGCCCGTCCGGCCGCCGACACGTGCCGCGCCGCTGGGCCCCGCCTGACGTACCGAGTCCGTCCGGCCGCCGACACGTGCCGGCGCCGCTGGGCCCGGCCTGACGTACTGGGTCCGTCCGGCCGCTGACACGTGCCGGCGCCGCTGGGCCCGGCCTGACGTACTGGGTCCGTCCGCGCGACACGTGCCGGCGCCGCTGGGCCCCGCCGGACGTACCGAGTCCGTCCGGCCGCTGACACGTGCCGGCGCCGCTGAGCCCGGCCTGACGTACTGGGTCCGTCCGGCCGCTGACACGTGCCGACGCCGCGGCCGCAGGTACAGATTGAGCAGCTGGAGGGGTGTGCGCCGCGGCCGGAGCGCGCGCCGGGCCCGGCCGACGGCGACGCGCCGCGGCTGCGGCCGCCCTCCTTCTTAGCAGAGACGCCCTGGGACGGCAGCGTGGCGCGACGCGTCAAGCGAGCCTACTCGACGCTGGACGCCTGCTCCGTCCGCATGGGCGTCTTCCTCAAGCGGTACCCGATCGCGCGCATCTTTGTGCTTGGATACATGGTGAGTGGGTTCGGGGGGGGGGGGGGGTGCTTGGATACATGGTGAGTGGAGCCGGGGAGGGGTCGCGTGCTTGGATACATGGTGAGAGGGGCCGAGGAAGGGTCTGTGTGCTTGGATGCATGGTGAGTGGAGCCGGGGACGGGTCGCGTGCTGCACACCACGCGCCAGGCTGACCGCGGTGTGCAGCACTCGGTAGGTCACCCGGTAGCGTTATGTGGGCAAGATATTGGCGGTCGGTATTATTTAGGACTACAACAAACAGTTGCTATATTTTTCAGCCTTCGTTCTTGGTGGATGTCCGTATTCCGTGAAATAAATACTTCACATAAGCCCCAAATTATGTGGTACCAAAATAATATTCCACATTCTAATTCATCAGCTCACAAAACATTTGTGCTTTGCTATGTGAAGAAGTACTGCGGTCACAGCGCTTCCCCAAAGTAGTTGTGGTATTGCCTCAAGGTTGAAACTGGCGTGTCCTTGCGTTGTCCTTGCGTGCACCACATTGATCGTCCTTGTTCGGTTCGGTAGCGGTGCATCCTGCATGGCTGACGTGCGGTAAGGACCTGGTCCATAACTGGATCGGCGGACTGACGACCCGCCACTGACGGCCGATCACTGACGGCAGACCAATGACTGCGATCACTGATCCTGGCTGGGCCTGTTGCCAGTGTCTTCTGCACCTCTGGGTCATGATCGTGCTCTTCACCTACACGCCCGAGATCCACGGCGACGACTTCCACCGGCCGTCCAGCCACCCACTGCCGTGAGCGGCTCCAGCGCCGGTTATGGACAGCTAGTGTCGCCGCCGCCCTCGGGCCGCCTGTGCTCAGTCCGATGACTCTTCTTGTGTGCATGGTGGGAGCTGGTGTAGGTGACCTTGTTATGTAGATTGTAGATTGTTTTTAGCGCGGAGATAACTTCACAGTTTTCGGTACTATCTCGTGATATTTTGCATAGGGTATGGCAGCGACTATTTTTGCGGTCTTGCACGAAACGTCTGGTGCAGAGTTCGGAAGATTGTGCGCGTTGGACATCGTGCGAGCCGGTTGGCTGCTGAAACAGCTGTAGCTAGTTGACATCGCGTTCAGTTGGTACCCAGGGTCAGCTGCACCCGCGGGGTTAAGTCGTCGAGGTCAGGGGATCTCCAACTCCCTGCTGGCCCGGCGCCCAACCGGTTGCAGGGTTTCCAGATCTGCATATTAACGGGCGCCTCCAGGACGTTGGACTCGCGGCGCACCCTGACCGGTTTGAGTCAGCTGACGCGACGCTAGAGGCCTGTCCAGCTGGCCGCCTGTCCGTGGCCGCCTGCCTGTCCCGGCGCCGGTGCCCCGGCCCAGCGGTGCCGACCCAGTCCCGCCGGAGGGCTGGGGCTCGCTCACACTGGGCGCATGTGCTGGGTCGGTAAATGCCTGTCTGTAAAGAACATGTCTGGAAACACACCGATTCTGACACATCGTTCCCCGGCTGCGTACAGAATGTGCCGCCGTATGTGACTTGCCGATGTGCCAACTCACGTGACGCGACCCGAGTCGTGACCGGGCATGGCGTCCTTGCCGCTGAGCGGCGCAGCGTCACATGTGACGAGCTTTCCACCGCTCCCAACCTGCACTCGCGAGCGCCGATCGCGTGACTCCCACCGCCCGTCGACGCCGGAAAAGCCGGCTCCTGCGCCCAACACTGTATGCAGTGTTAGGTTCGTTGTGTGGTGTGTTGAGAGGGGAGGGCTGACGCGAGTAGAATCAATCCTTTGTGTTTATTTTAATTGGCCACAAGTGTTATTTATAGCCAGCCACGTGGGTGAGCCGTGGGCCGCTCACGTGTGCCCCTGTGCCTGTTCACGGATCGCGACCAGCCATCTTGCGCTCGCGCTCTCTGAAGTCGTGCGGTATGTGGGCGTCGTGAACTGCTGCTGAATAAACCGGGGGCGCGTTCTGTAGTGGCGGGTATAACGCCCCCGCTCCTCTGACTCTCCCCTCGGCTGCTAGCTGCGGCCACCGTTGCTCCGTTAGTTCTGGCCGTAGTTGATCAGCCCGGTCCAGTCACCAGTCAGAGGATCAGGGCTCCAGCCGTCAACGGCCACCCAGCAACGCCTCAAAGACGGAACACGCTGCGAACTGCAGGAGAGCAAGTAGACTATGATACTGAAACCCAGTGTATGGTAGCATTCAGGTTCGGATGGGAGGACAACTTCGGTGAAGGATGCGTGGGGTTCCAGCTTGCGCAGGGACAAATGCCCGTTCTAATCGAGCTTGACTGATCCTGCATCTGGGTGGGACTGGTTAGCGCTATTCACACCAGAGCAGCGGTGCCAGACGTCTGTATGGCGTGAGTGCCGCGCATTTGGCTAACGAATGGACTGGCGGTTCGGCACGGCGATCGGCAGCGCATGGTCCGTCCCTGGTTATCGGCTGAAGCGAACTGCTGTCCCATCCTCCCCGATCTTCAGCTGAGAGGAGACTGCGGACAGGGCGCACTAGTCCAGCTGGCGCATTAGCTGGTGAGGGGGCCCCAAGCCTGATCCGTGCAGGTGGTCCACAGGAGCGTGGGATGGGGTCGGAATGTGGTGTCTGGCATTCGCTGCCGCGTCACGTTTTTCGTGGATGCCGGTCACATTTTCCTTGGGCAATGGGAACGCCGTCACGTGATGAAAATGTCAGAGGGAGTGCTGACAGTGTGTCTCGGGCACGAGCATTTCAGCGAGGTTCTTTTACAAGCCGGCGGTTAGTCCCTCTATTGGCCCACAGGGCATTCTCACAAGCCGGAGGGCGAGCAAGTCCCCTTTATATGCCACCTTTGCAACACAAGAGATGAGCCCCCTTCAAGCCAGCAGGGTCCTAAAAGTTTTAAATACTGCACGGCCCTTTCGCCATAGCACGCATTGAAACCTCCGGCATATTTGGAGGACATGTATAGGTTTGTAGCCTTCGTTTACCCTCGGCTGGATGTTCCGTTGTAAACACAGGAGATCGATGTAGACTGATACTGGCACTGACTTCTTTCCTTCCTTTTCAATTTAAGAAAAATGGAGCCTGGCGGCGAAAAAGAGATCGTCGGTTAGCCGCGAGGAGATCTCGCGATTGGTTAGCATCGTTGTGTTGCTTCACCAAGAATGGACGCTTCGAGGCCTGGTTAAATGGCACTTTTTCCTGAAAAGCTGACTGTGTCAGATGTACTGGCGACATCCGCGAAATCTTGCAGCGCTGCAATACAAAAGTTATACACAGGTGTTCCCTTTTAACGAACTTTGAGTACGTTGTAGCTGGTTCTGTGGGAATATTTTACCTCATGCCGTAGGTGTTCCTGAAATGCATGGTGTCATGCCCGCCTCTCATCGACGGATTCGTCGGTGGGGTCGCACCGATTCCTGCACTTCAAGGCGAGGCTCAATGCCTAGAATATTTTCTAAAACGTTTATTTGCTTTGAATATTGTTTCTGAATTGTAAAGCGCTATGCTGGCGCCTTACGACCCGGCGTCACGCCGGCGCTTTACACTGGCACTATGCCGGCATCCTGCACCGGTGCTCTGCTGGCGGCTTACGCTCTGGCGCTATGCTGGCGCCTTAATTACATTCTAGCGCCCTGCACTCTGGCGCTACTTGTGTGACGTTAACGCCTGGCGCTTTCCTCTTGCCCTCTTGTGCCACATAGGGCCTCTCAGTATCCAAAACAGACCCTCGGCCCCAGGTGCCTGCCCGGTGGCCGGGGGGGGGGGGGGGGGGCCTCTCGGCCCCGTTGCACATCCCGCTGGTTGTGTCACCGTTTCGAGACGGTCAATGGACCTTTACCAGTTAAGACAGTGCTCAACAGCCAGCCACCCGTCGTAAACAAATTTAAGGCATCAAACGCGATGTTCTTAACAGGGCCCGATGTGCGTTTCACGAGACCATGTCGGGGAGAATCCGAGTGGCCAGTTTTCGCTGAGGTGTCATGAATGTATCCGCCCAAACACTGCGATGTCATTCCATCTCAGATGACGCTATATGTCGACACCCTAAGAGCCCCGTCACTCGTGATTTCAAGAGCCTGACTCAAAACGTCAACGGTTTATCCACTAGCTCGGTCCTAGAACTCGGTGCAGGCAAGCCGTCCTCCGTACCGCCTCTTCCACTCAAGCTCTCACCAACACTTTATTGGAAAATGTATTATTCACGTTTTCGGTTCTTCTTTGCAGTTTAAACGACATGCGTGGAAACACGTATATGGCCTTGTTACCACCAGTCTGAGTAAAAATAAGATTACGCATCCATCGCTTCGACAATATCTAAATGCATAGCAGCCCGTCGCTCCGTTCAAAGCACAGGGCATCACTCTCGTCCAGCTCAACTCGAGAGCAAAGTTATCAAAGTGCGGCTCCGCGCGTGTGGACTCTCGCCGAGTCCCCCGGATAAAACGTCAACGTTCACACACAGCCTCACCTCGCGGCCTTCGCCTTGGTCTGCGGTCGAGCACAAACCACCTCAGCACCGTGACCCAGCGGCCACCTCACCGCAGACGGTTTCCCGCTCCGTCCAGCGAACCGGCCGCGCCCGGCCACTGGCACCCGACCTACAGCACAGCCGGCAGCGTCCGGAACGGGGCCGGACGCAGAGGCCACCGAGAGTCGCCCCCCCGCCCGCAGAGTCGCAGAGGTCGCCCCTGCCCGCAGGCGCGGGGCGGCGGCACAGCGCCGACGGCCCACTCGGTAACAGCGGGCTCGCCACACTTGTAAGGGATCAGCGACAGACCATCCCGGATGGCACGGCGAATCGAGTCACGGCACGGCGAGCTCCAGTCCGGGACGTCAGCGAAAGGCGCCACGCCGACTGGACCGTGCGTTCGGACCCACGCGGACAGAAGCAGTGGGGTCCATGCGGCCACACACGCGGACAAACGCAGTAGAGTCCGCGCGGCTACACGTGCAGACGTTCGGACTCACGCGAACACGCAGAGGAGTCCGTGCGGCTACACACGCGGATGCTCATCTCTAAAGGAAAACAACTAGCTTTCATGAGCCGCTCCTCTTGCGAGAGGCGACGAGACAAGGCGTCTCCAGAGCTTACAGCGACGCACGTACACACCTTATCAAACGGGGTCACTCGCGCCCCGCCTGCCGAGCACGGCAGGCGGGCGCAGCCCCGCGGCCCCGACGACGGCCGCTGTTGTACTGGAAGAGTTACACACTGGCGCCGACACCGGACGGAAAGAGCGGCGACTCGATCCGTGTCCAGAGCCGGTTAGCGGGCAGGTGCAGCACACGCCAATATCATGCCGGTGCAGCCGATCCTCCCAACCCTGAGACCGACGACGGGTCTGGTGATGCCCATCACACCTCAGAGCGGGGAAGAATCGCGACTCCAGTATCAGTATTGTGACTCCAGCCTTCCAGCGCCTCCGACGGCCGCACGCGCGCGCGCGGTGGGAGGTGAGCCAGCTGGTGACCCAACAGGCCGTTCCCGTCGGGGGCCGACGCGGCCGCCCGGAGCCCCCGCGTCCGTGTCGCCGCCGCAGCTGGTCCCGCCGCCCGCCGGCTAGTGCTGACTCGGCTCGCGGCCCTCGTACACCAGCCGCAGCGCCTGCGGGAGGCACACACCTCGGTCAAACGACACAACCGGAGCTGTTCACCAGCCGCAGCGCCTGCGGGAGGCGCACACCTCGGGTCAAACGACACAACCGGAGCTGTTCACCAGCCGCAGCGTGCGGGAGGCGCACCTCGGTCAAACGACACAACCGGAGCTGTTCACCAGCCGCAGCGCCTGCGGGAGCCGCACACCTCGGTCAAACGACACAACCGGAGCTGTTTACCAGCCGCAGCGCCTGCGGGAGGCGCACACCTCGCTCAGACGGCACAACCGGAGCTGTACACCAACCGCAGCGCCTGCGGGAGCCGCACACCTCGGTCAACCGACACAACCGGAGCCGTACACCAGCCGCAGCGCCTGCGGGAGCCGCCACCTCGGTCAAACGACACAACGGAGCCGTACACCAGCCGCAGCGCCTGCGGGAGCCGCACATCTCGCTCAGACGACACAACCGGAGCCGCACACCAGCCGTAGCGCCTGCGGGAGCCGCACACCTCGGGCAAACGACACAACCGGAGCCGCACACCAGCCGCAGCGCCTGCGGGAGCCGCACACCTCGGTCAAACGACACAACCGGAGCCGCACACCAGCCGCAGCGCCTGCGGGAGCCGCACACCTCGGTCAGACGACACAACCGGAGCTGTTCACCGGCCGCGAGACCCACTACAGCCGCACGACTCAGATAACAGGCAGCTTAAGGCGTACAACGTCTGCGCAGTCCGGGAATTTGCACGGCTCGGCCGGGTCCTAAGCGGGTGGCGTACACGGCCTGCACAGCCCGGGGCGACGCTGCTCGGCGGGCTGCACAGACTCCCGTCTCTGCCCGGGTCTGGTGGGCACTACCGTTGAGCTGGGCGGCCAGCTCCGTGCTCTCTCCCTTTCTCTCCCTCTCTCCTCTTTCTCTCTCTCTCCCTCTCTCTCACCCTCTGCAGGGCGACAATCCAGTTGGCCGACTGGCGCCAGTCGTTGACGTGCGGCCCGGCGGTGAGTCGGACCATTCGCTGCTCCACCGAGCCCGCTGCCCGGTACGTCACCGACACAGACTCGGGCAGCGTCTGGCCGGGCACTGCGGCGACCGGCGCACTATCCGTTACACACCGGCACACACTGCACACCGTCAGATACACACGGCGCACCGTCCGTCACACACTGGTACACCCTCCGACACGCAGGGCACACGCGACACATCGACTCACACAGCGCACCGTCCGTCACACACCGGTACACCCTCCGACACGCAGGGCACACGCGACACGTCGACTCACACGGCGCACCGTCCGTCACACACCGGTACACCCTCCGACACGCAGGGCACACGCGACACATCGACTCACGCTGCGCACCGTCTGTCACACCTGTCACAGGTGACTCGGGCAGTGGCCGATCCAGCGCTGTGGGGTCACTGTGCGGACCGTCACACACAGCTGGCACCGAGTCGTCCCGCCGCGCACGTGAGTGGGTACGGGCACAACAGCCGTACGCATGCCACAGGGCAGGGAGCAGATGATCACACGTAGGCCACAGAACAGGACATAGAAGACGGACCCTTACCTATCCATGCAGCGTTTAACTGTGATGTGGGTACAAGTAACTCTTACAGTGTCACACAAAATAAGCACATTCCAGTATTGTCTGGATCAGTTAAAGCACCAGTGTCACCTCAAATGGTTCCCCGCCAAGTACAAAGTCGTCACGAAAGCCAGAATTTATGCACAAAATAGTCACATCGTGTCTTCTAACATGCGGCTCCGTCCGTCTTTACATGTCGAGCACTCCCACACGTCAGTCGTACATGTCTCCTTAGCGTTTCAGTCTAACAGAAATGAAGCGGAACGTCAGGCAACAGCGGGCCGCAAGGCCGGGCTAGCGACGCGCACGCCGTGGCGTCTGTGTCAGTGGCGTACAGCCGAGCCGCGCCGGACCGACCGGCAGGGTGACCGGCCGCAGCGGCGGCGGTCGGTGCCACGCCCCCTCGGCCGCGCCCAGTCCGGCCGAGAGCTGCACACGCAAAGCTCATCACGACACGACAGCCGGACGGCCGTGTGGCGCTCGCTCGAGTCACAAGGCTGCCACGCACAGCCACACACAGTCACACAGCCGTCACGCAGCCACACAACCGTCACACACACACAGCCACACAGCCGTCACACACACGCACAGCCACACGGCCGTTACACATAGCCACACTCCAGTCACACACAGCCACACATCCGTCACACGCAACCACATGCCCAAGCCACACAGCCGTCCTAAGAAGCTCGCAGCGAGGACACACGGAGCGACGGGACTGGAGCTGAAGGCGATAGCGACGAGGCAGCGTGTGAGGGCACGCTGCCGGAGCCGACAGAGAAGACCACGCAAAACAATAGAAACATAGATCGTGATTACGAACGAATTGAACAACGCTTAGCATAGTGCTTGGCGTAATGCTTGGCATAATGCTTGGTATAATGCTGGCTTGGCACCATGCTGTGCGCGACACAAATCACGGTTTTCCACCGCATGCGGTGCCGGTCGCCGGATCAGTCCATTTCTCGTATCGTACAGGAACATCGTTCACGTACCACATGGATCAAGGTCTGGTGTGACCACAGAGCTAAGTCGTAAATGGTGTACAGGTGGCGCTGCTCACGCCAGTCACATTCCGCAACCCGCTGAACAGGCAACGGAGAACATCAACGGCTACCAGATCGCTTGCCACGCAAAAATGAAAACAGCGCAATAAAAGCCGACGGATTCCCGGGACGCGGCACGTCACGACCTAGGCGGCTATGCCTTCCACGTATTATGGAAAGAGGCCATTCCAAGTGTCAACTGAGTCATCATAAGGCAATGCGTGCCCGGAAATTTGTCGCGTAAGTGGCGCCCTGGATGGCACGGCCTTCAGACTGTCCGGGTGCCTGGACGCTGAGTCACACGCACCACCGATAGGCCGCTGGCGCAGCGTGGCGACTGGTCCGGGTTCGGGCATTTGCCACGAGCTCGTATAACCAGCTTGGTTTACGTGCTGTTTATTGTGCGCACACTATCGGTGACCACTGAAAAACAGCCAGGCGAGTTCCATTACGACATTCGGAAAGCGTCCGCACTTTCAACACAAATATCCGATGGAAACCAAATCAGCGTAGCTAGCTATACTAGTCCATCAAATTATGATGATTAATCAACGTACCCTATCACGGGAGCATCAACAACGACGTGGGCCCGGTGCGAGCGGGACCTCTCGGCAAGGGTGTCGGAGCGTCCCGCAACGTGCGACGGTCGGAGGAAGGCAACAGTACAGCCTCCTCATGGACTGCGCATGCCCTTCAGCGACGGTGTCTTGCCTTTGTCAGGCGTAAGGTGGCTTACACAGAGCTGATGCTCAAACTTGCTAGTGCGAGAAGGAGCCCATTGCCTCCGGTGACACATAAATGTGCAGCACAACGTACTTGCACCCATGGAATTCTACGCATTGAAGCTGGCAATTCTCTCCCAGTCGAGATACACGAGAAGAATGTTTGAAATCGTTCAATTGTATGCGAATGCCTGCCGCAAAGCGTTGAGCCCTTGTGGCCTGTCAGGATTCAAAAAGGTCAGTAGGACATCGCTTCCAGGCAAGCTGGTCGCTATGGCAGCAGATGTAGACCAAGATGCAGCCACACGGTAATAAAGATTGAGCGGGAAAAGAAGTGAGCACGTTTCAAAGACTGCAACATCCTGTGTTACTTAAAGGGAATGTTTCACATTTGAAGATATCAAAGCATCAGATATGATGAAACAAGATTGCTTACAACTAATAGCATACTTTTCCACGAAAATGACTACTCCATACAACACAAGCTCTCTGTTTGGCGGACATGTTCCTCGATACGTTATTGTTTGATTACATCATCGTACCTTGCACAGCATTGATTGAGAGCGAATCGGCGGCTGCTACGCCTGGAAATCATGCTCACGAACGCCAGATATAAACGACTCGACCATTACATTTTTTTTTTTACCTTGATTGTCGCAAGTCTCATGAAATGACAGGATTTCGGTGACCTTATTCTGACTTAATGACTACCAGTGATGTTGAAATACTCCCCATACTCATCTTTGCAAACTTTCTCAGGAACCAGCGAGTTTTAGGTCTAAAAAGGAAATGGCCGAGGGCTTCACCGAGAGGTCTTCAATATGACTAGTTCAGTTCAAAACCTCATACACATGTGAAACTCTTCTTTTCAACTGCTGCCACGTCAAATGCAAGCTCGTGTTTTTGCCGGAGCCATGCTTGTCAAAAGCCGACATCTTGTGTCAACACACACGGAGCATCGAAGCACACTACATGGCTGAAATCGAGAGGTGGTCCGTTTTGCAGGCTGCACTGAAGACAAACCCCCACGTACATGTTCTAATAATCGCGCAAGATCCTGAGGTAAATACCTTATGGTAAATCAACAGCCAGGTGCCACCCATGTCTCTACGGCCCCGCTCATCGACGCACAACCGACAGCAGCCCGGGTTGGCATTGGCAATTAGCACAAGTTGGCGGCATGTCGCGGGTCGCACCTGTCTGCCGTCACAGCAAACCCGCGCTTCTTATGACGCCGATGTCGCGACATTCCCGTGTTGTAACCAACCCGTCGCAAACCGATAGATAAAGAATGCGAAGAGCTGGAAAGGTTGGGTATGCTACTTCCTTTGCTCCCTCTATATTAGCGCCTTTTCAAGTGACCTGCGCCGATCCTCCTGGCGATCCCACCCGGTCCGTGAATGGTCAAACGTAAAATGGAGGCAAAACGGAGTCATTGCGTCACCCGGCACTTGCATGACTTTTGGGCTCGCCTTCGGTGTGCATGATGTACAAAAGCATTCCATGTTTTGATGGCAGCCGCCCGAGTCGAACGGCAAAACATACGAACATTTTTCAACAAGACGCCGGTAAAACCCACGTGGCTGCGACACATGAAGCTTTCGCCGGAGACGGCTTGGCCAGCCAGACCGACGGAGCTGGGGCCCCCTAGTGCGACGCGACGCGGCCAGCGGATACTCACCGTCACCATCGTCCGAGCAGTCTAGAGGAAGGAAACAAACGTAAATGACCGGTACACGCGCGGGATTGTTCATTCCTTGGTCCATTACAGCTTTTCCCAAAACACATGCAACGTGACTAAATAATCAGCCGGGCTTTCTGGCAATGCGATTTTCACAATAGGTCTCGAGGGGGAAAGCTAAAATGCATCAAGCATGACGTTTACAGAAACATCGCAGCGAAACTGCCCCGTTAATGAGTTGCTAAGGTTTATGGATCAATACTGCCATCACCTGACATTCTCTGCGAAGGCGGTACCAAGGACCACTTGTAACGGACATGCGCAGTATAAATTTGAACACATAACCTGCATGAACAGAGGCACGTAAGCCTGGACGAAGCTGGGGAGTAAGTGGTTTTGGTCGGACCTATGAGTCGTGGGAAGGCCAGATCTGTTGTGGTACTTTTACATCAATTATTCCGTGTCGCGGCAATGACGATTACTGTAGTTGCGTACGCTCCATACGGGGCGCGTGACCCCGCCGGGACGAAGACAACATGGCTTCGCCGCACGGCGACCATAGTCCTGCAGCGCCACGCTGCCGGAACACGGGCACAGGTACGCCCTGCTCTGCTCTGTCGCTCGGTGTCGGCGGCAATGTTCGATAGCGGTGTGTGGGTCGAACCGCGTGACGTGACCGACCGGCCGTTCATCGGCACGGGGGCAGCACGCGCAGATCCTAAGATTGCGTTGGTCGTGGCATCTTGGAGGGAGCCGGGTTTGAGTGTGCTGGCTTAGAGCCGACTTCGTCCCTTCCATCGCCCGAGATTCCCGCCCGGCGAGGCGGTGCAGGAGGCCTTAAAAGTGCACTGCGCCGACGAATACCCGGACAGTTAATACCCAGCCCGTGCTCCACTGGCGGACTGCGGTCGTGCGGGCCATCCTAACGGTCAACTTCAATAGAGCGGGGTATGACGGCCAAAGCACGTCAGCTCTCAACAGAGCCCGTGCTCCACTGGCGGACTGCGGTCGTGCGGGTCATCCTAACGGCCGACTTCAATAGAGCGGGGTATGATGGCCACAGCACGTCAGCTCTCAACAGAGCTCGTGCTCCACTGGCGGACTGCGGTCGTACAGGTCAGCTTAACGACCAACTTCAATAGAGCGGGGTATGATGGCCAAAGCACGTCAGCTTTCGATTGAGCCCGTGCAGTGAACAGCAGCCGTGCTGGTGCCGGCGACATCTCCCAGCAGAGAGCATTGCAGCATGTCCCCCGATGTGGCAGCACTGGCGATCGGTGCCAGTGACCGACGCCACGACATGAGCTGATCATAACGGGTACGACCTCGTCGTGTCCGGATACCGTGGGACGAGGTAACTCCTCGTAACCGTCACGGTAGTGACGCGCAGGGGAGGACAGTCCGGGCCCGAGGCGGTGTCGGCGGCAGGTCCCGCCACCATCGCCGCACAAACACCCCGCGTCCACGCCACAACAGACCCCTCCGTCTCCTGAACACTGAGCATCTCCTGAGCATCTCCTGAGCACCATGTTCTCCGGCAGCTGGCGGTCAGGCACAGATCACGTACCGTGTGTCTGACGTGACCCGCTGACATATGACGACGAGAATGGTCATGTTTCCGCTACATTGCACAAAGACCTTGTGGACTCTCGACGAATCCGTCTGCGAAATTGTCAGGTCTGCGGTGTCGGACATAACCCTGTACGGAACTGTCCACTTAACTATGCAAATATGCACAAAACACCGCCCCAGTTCCGGCGAGTCGAGAACGAGCCGACAGGCACGGCTGGGTGAGGGGCGCGGCCGGGCGCCGGGCCGCGACTCACCGTACTCGATGGTCGACTGGGTCACCTGGGCGGTCACAATGCGCGACACCTCCACCCGCTCCGGCACCGGGTCGCCGCAGCTCGGCTCGAACCGCAGGAAGCGGTGGTCGGCGCTGACCGTGGCCAGGCACAGCACTGTCTGCTCTCCGCTGGTCACGTCAAACTGGGCGCCTGCCAATGGACGCGACGTGGCCACTCAGAGCTGTACGCTGACTGGCGCCCGGCTGCAGACGGACGCTGGCAGCCGGTGCAGTATCACTGCACCGCTTACAGACAGCGTCCGGCGCCCCGGCTCCCATACGGACGCTGGCACCCGGTGTAGTATCACTGCACTGCTACGGACAGCGTACGGCGCCGGCTACGGACGGACGTCTGGCAGCCGGTGCAGTATCACTGCACTGCTACGGACAGGCGCCCGCCGCCGGCTGCAGACGGACGCTGGCAGCCGGTGCATTATCACTGCACACGCTACAGACACGTTCGGAACACGCACGCTGTCTGTAGCATAGTACGTATACCTGCACCTGGCTCGTCAAAGATCGCCGGCAATGCATCCGACATGTCGTGAGGGCGTATACACAGAAAGCACGCATTAAAGACCAGTTACATTACAATGCCAAGCCCCACACGAAATAGCTGGCAATAGCCAAACCTCCACAGTACACATCATCTTGGAATAGCCATATACGGCACCGCTTACCCCGCCATAGCCGCTGGAGCATCGCACCCACCCTGCGTCAGCAGCTTCAGACTGCTGTTGAAGAAGTCGTTCTCCGCTGTGGTGACGTCCGAGCAGCGGAAGCACTGGCGGACTGGGTCCACGAAGCACATGCGGGGCAGCATCACGCGCGCCTGGCAGCACTGGCCGCAGAAGATCTGACCGCACCGGCGACAGTGGTGGCGCCGCTTCAGGAAGTCGAACTTGAGGCCGCACTTGCTGTTGGAGCACTCGGAGGTCTGAAGCGGGAGACACAGGCTCTAAACACGAGCAGGATGAAGTGCGAGACTGTGACCGTGACACAGACCATGCCACAGGCACCCATGGCCCATCGATTAGAGCGCCTGCTCTCTAATATTCCCGCGGTGGCGTTTGTGAGTTCGAGCCGTCGCGGAACTCGCTATCTGCCCCTGGCCGGCATGGCCTGCAGCCGTCAGCAGTGGCCGCACAAGGTCACATGAGGTCAGAGGGAGGGACGGACCATGCCGAGCATCACAATACGTGTTTCATTCTGCTGCGGAAATGGAATTTCACAATCGGATGGTGGGGACATGTCTCACACAACACGCTCTGCTTAGCATGGGCCATGACCCAATAAATCTGTCCAAAGAAAATGTTGGAGCCGGGCGGCGAGTCAGCCACTCCTGGTGCGGCCACCGTTGCTGCGAGCGTTGCTCAGTAGTGAGTGTCGTAACAGCCGCGTCGCTGAGCAGGACGGGGGTCTTAATGGTGGGATAATGTTTGGAATCGCCATGCAGTGGCACAGCACAGCGGGTTGCATTCAAACTAAAACTTTGAGGAATGATTCAGCATAATGAAAAATGCATAATTAAAAGTGAGATGACATGAAACAAAAGAGGACTGGAGCTGGACTTCAGGTTGGGGTCCTGGTTTGGAAAGGCAAATTCTCAGTGCAGGGCGCCGGAAGTGCAGTGGTTAACGCGTCTGCGTTAACCACTGCGCGTCTGGGAAACCGGAGGTACGGGGTCCGACTTCCCGCGGTGCCCACCCTTCCTGCCAGGGTGAGAGGCAGGCGACGCCATATAGCCCCCGCTGCTGAGTGCGTCGTAAAGCCCCAATGACACAAACACATCCACATCCACACCCACACCCATCCCCACACCCACACAAATTCTGAGTGTGCATGTTCCGATGATAAAAAGTGGAATTTTAAGAGCTATGAAGACATGAAATTTCAAACCGTGCATCTAAAACCACAGAAATTACCGGCAGCTGGCATCTAAAGAACAGGGCACATCTCAAACTGCTAGTATTGCACAGGTCATGCTGTGGGGATTGTCAAATCTTTAACCAAAAAAAAAATATAATCAAAATAAGAGCACACGCTTCTGGAGGCAGAAAATCCAGCAGAAGTCTCCATTTCTAATACTGTGCCAGTGCACTACAGCTAGTTATTCACTCAAATGAAATATGACTATTCAGTGCCCAGGGTTTTTAAAGGCAGTGTTTCATATTTATATGGGGCTTTGAACTGAAACAGGCACCTCAAAGACACTTTGGTGCTGTTCACAGCCCCGCCCTTTGTAAGGCTCATGCCCCTATGCTGTCTAAGGCTACACGCACGTGAAAATGGCGTAAGGCATACCTGGGAGTTTTTCAGTCACTTCGACATTCATGATGGCATAATAGCATCAGTCAAATCCTGCCACTCCATAAGCTGTGTTGGCACATCAATGCTGAGAAAAATGCAACTGTTGAGGTGTACATATCTGGCGTTCTGGTGTTTGTGAGCTGGATTTCCAGACATAATCCAGGTTTAATAGCCCTCAATTTGCCATCAATCAATGTTGTGCAAGGGAAAATGACGATCAAACCGTGACACATTGAGCATATTTACTACACAGAGCATTGTGCTGTTGAGAGCAGTTTTTCTCCTGAAAAAGTATACCAATAGTTATAAGTGAGCTGTTTCATCATATCTGATGCTTGCTTCAATATCTTCAAATGTGACACACCTCAACATGCGCTCGGGTGGGGGTCAATTTGACTCCCGAAAGTTTTTCCAGAGTGATTTCCGAACGGCGGGGCGTCGCATTTTGCATAGCTTTAGACAACTGAATAGCGGATCGTTTGGTATGAACAATATAGATGCACCTTGCAAAGTCGCTGACCTATGGCAGGTCAAAGTCACGCCATGGTTTCAGCGAAGGCAATTTGTAGGGGATCGTTCAATCTGATGCAGCAACAGAGTGTTAGACGAAGCCATGCATTTCTGAGATACCATTTTAGGGAACTTAACTACTGAATGAGCAAATTATGTTGACCTAAGGTCAGGTATAAAGGTCAGACTAAGGTTAAACCAACCTGTTTTATTACTCTAGGGCTTGCTGTATGGGATAGTTTCTGGTGCTTATTTCAAATTGATTAATGGCAGGAACCACATAATACACCTTCCAAGGACTTCTTAGAGGTCAGAATAGGTTATTGACATGAAATACCCAGGTAAACATTTTGTTTTCAGGAACACACTGCTTAGCGTGAACCTCGTCGCCTATTCAAATGCAGAACATCAAAGCAATCTTGTATGATTTTGGTCACCATGACCTTCAAAAGGTCATTCGTCACTGTGCTGAAATGAGCAAGTGACCTTTTGCTTAGAAACAGTTATATAGGTTCTGGGTGCACTTTGGAGACCAACCTAGAATTCGACCTTATTTGATCTTATTTGACCTGAAGGTCATGACTTAGGCACATCAAACTTTGACCCAAGTGATTTCACATACAGGTCAACACACCCTATGAATTTGGTGTCTCCAGCTCTCTTAGTTCCCAAGATCTCAGGAAGGTCAAATTGCCCCCCCCCCCACCCCCCACCTGAGCAAAGGGCATCTCGCCGGCCACCCGAACGCGTGTTACAAGCGCTCGGGTGGGGGTCAAATTGATCCCCCGAAGGATTTTCCAGAATGGTTTCCGAACGACGCGGCGTAGCCGCGCAAAATTTGGCACAGCTGTAAACACTTGAAAAGCAGATCATCTGACATAAAAATCTAATGTACCTTGTAAGGTCACTGACCTTTGGCAGGTCAAAGTCAGAACATGGTTTCAGCGAGGGCAATATCTAGCGAATCATTCAATCTGACACAACAACGGAGCATTTGACGAAGCCATACACCTCTAGTCTTAGGCACAACAAACATTAAATGAGCAAATTGCATCAACCTAAGGTCAGGTATGAAGGTGAGAACAACATAAAACCAACCTGATTTATTACTGTAGGGCTTGCTGTATGAGATAGTTTTTGGTGCTCACTTCAAATTTGTTGATGGCAGGAATCACATCATACATCTTCTATTGACTTCTCAGAGGTCAGAACAGGTCACTGATCTAAGATGACCCCAGCTGACATTTTGTTTTAGGAACATACTGCCTAGCATAATCTTTGTTGCTTATTCAAATGCAAAGCTCAGAGCAGTGTTGTATGATTTTGGTCACCATGACCTTCAAAAGGTCAAACAAGGTCACTGACCTCAAATCAGCTTGTGAGCTCTTGCCTAGAAACAGTTGCCTATGTTCTGGGGGCACTTTGGAGACCAACCTGGAATTTGACCTTGTCTGACCTTATTTGACCCAAAAGTCATGATCTAGGAAGCTCAAACCTCGACCCAAGTGAGTTAATGTATGGGTCAAGACACCCTGTAAATTTGGCGTCTCTAGCTCTCATAGTTCTCAGGATATCACAGGGGGTCAAATTGACTCCCCAACCAAGCAAAGGGTACCTAGCCAGCCACCCAGGCATATGTCAATAGAGCAGGAAAATCTCTGAACCATCTGACTAGTGCCTAGTATAAAACCTAGCTCTTAGTGCTTCCATTTCATAGCACTAGTCAGTGTTTGCAGTAGACGCCAGTTGTATTCCGGCACGTAAAGGCATCGCACAGTGACAACGGCAGTGATCAGATGCAAAGTGCAGATGGCATGACTTCTCAAACATAGCCAAATGAGTTATGTCAAATATGTGCAACATGTCCAATTTTCCAATTAGATTAATCAAAAGAAGTGTGTTCAATCTTTTGTTTTCTGGAATTAGGAATGTGATTATGCACATTTTATAGCTTCTAGATTATTGTTGGTATCATGAGACAACTGCCTATGCTGATATGGTGTGCAGTGCCAGGGAGTACTCATTAACATTTACTCACAAACATGTGACTAGGTGAAGAAAGTCTCAGTTAACAAATACTATGTTCCGGCCCTCTCTCTCTAGAGAGCCGGATCTCCAAGTTGTTTTTCTTAAATGCCATAAATTGATAATAGATAATAAATAGAAAGATAATCTATCTATTAACTGATAATAAGTAGATATGTGTTTAGATAATATTGTAGCAAATTCATATTCTTAAGTCAGGCATTAATGAACAGCTCTATGTACTACGGTGGACAGGGCTGGTCCAGCCTGGTCACCTGTTTATGGGTGAATGGCAGAAAAAGAGAAAACACCCATATTTTGGCTACAGAAGTAGCTATTGTTATCTTCCCAGAAACCCAGGCCTAATCAAAACCCTGATGACTGTGAACAGACCTGGCAACTTAATAAGTTAAGTGGCCCTTGATTTTCTGGACATGCCTGCAGGCATGCCCCTGCAGCATCATATGATATATAAGATCTATATGATCTAAATGAATGTCTGATATGTCAGTATGTCAATATGAATATAACTTGTGTATTGTAGTGAACATGCAGTACCTATCCATAAGTTCAAAGCAAACATGCAGAATGTGGGACAGCAGTGGGGCACACATGCCACACATATATCACAAGGATATTTTAGCTGAATGGATGATTTTGTGCTTCACAGTTAACTTGCACACATGTTGTTCTGATGGGGAAAACAGTCAAACAGAACTTAACAATAACATTTACTTCATGAACATCCCAGCTTGACCCTGCATGACAAAAGCTGCACAGTTACCTAACTGGATTGAACAAATCCCTCTAGCTTTTTAAAAGACGGCATAGCTTACCTCCTTGTCTGGAGACCATGTTGGTTCTTTCAACTCAAACGGACTTCTTTCAGTGTTGTTAATGGGTATTATGCGCAGGCCAGACTTTGACTTCGTGAGCTTTTTGTTTCCAGAGCCTCTCACTTCATTTTCTGATCTTAGCCCATCTGCCATTACCAAACCGAGGTGTACGCTGGTATCACAGCAGTGCGGAGTATGGTGAAACGCGCTCTCGCATCCAACCGTGTACGAGCAGAAACAACCGTAGCCCCACCTAACTACACCCGCACACCAAACGGGCGAAACTATTAACTAGAACCACGGAGCGGAAGACCTATAGGGGGCGGTTTTCACAACAAAACCGCCGCAAGGTCATTCAGCTGTTCACCCACAATGCTTCGTAGAGATGGGCATTACTTTACCAAAGGTTTTATGGTAGAAAAAGGGAGTATAAGGAAACCAAGATTAGCTCATATTTGTTTAATCTATTACATTTTTGCGCATATGCTTCAAGCGTTGTACACGTCTGGATGTAAAGCCGTCGAAAATGGCTTTCGTAGCAACAATATTAGTTTAGTATCAGCTGATAACAATCGCCGCTAGTTTTTGTAGTTAGCTACTAGTTTGTCAACAGACAGCGGCGCGGGCAAGAGGGAGCGCAGGCAGGGGTGCAGACAGGGGGGGGGGGGGGCGCAGAGGGCATATTCCTTTTTAACGTCCCCTCGGGACTAGCGTTCGAGTGCCCATTTGAAGGCCCCGAAGCAGGTCGTATTTTAATCCTCGCTGTGAAGAAAGGGTTAGCGTACGGGGAATCTATTGCATATTTTGGCACCCAAAAATGTCCCTGGCATTTCTGGTTTCGGAGCAGCGGGGGCTTTCGTAGAACACTGCACGTCGATCCACAGCCTGCACGGGCGGCGGACGGCAGCCAATGATGCCACGGAACGCACGTAGTGGGCCGACATTGTTACATTAGGGGGACTCTTACATCATAAATATGTAGTGAAACACGTAAATCTACATGCCATGTTACTCTTAGTTGAACAAGGAACATGCCGGTTCAGGTTCCCTATCACTGCGAGACGTTGTCTGGTAACCATAAACGTGTGAAGCTGAAAAGTTCGGTGTTCGGGAAAAACTGAGATTTGGCCTGGCAGGATAAGGTTTATTATATTACTGACCTGGTAGCATAACATGCACCACAAGTCACGATATCATGTTGGGACGAGCCCATTGCTGTTCTGCTAAGCTCTATCTTTGTTAAGTTGGAAATGGTAAGGGGTCGCATCGACCTCCCACCAGTCCGCGTTATGAAAAATCGACGAATCAGGGCGGGAATTGAAGGGAGTGTTCCACATTTATATGTGGTTTTGAACTGAAAGAGCTCTAATGAAGAAATTTCGGTGCTCTCCACATCCCTGCCGTTCTTAAGGCCTACGCCCCTCTAGTTTCTGAGCTATATGCCCGCGAAAATGGGGAGAGAATATGGGGTATAGTATTTTAGTCACCTCGATATTCATGACGTCATAATAGCGTTATTCAATTCCTGTCATTCTACAAGTCATGTGGCGATCGAGGGCGAGAAAAACAAAGTGTCGAGGCGCTCATATCTGGCCTTCGTGAGTGCGAATTCCAGGTATAACGGTCGCCAACTGGCTCTCAATCAACGATGTAAAAGGTACGATGACATGCTCAAGCCATGACGTCCACATACACACACACACACACACACACACACACACACACACACACACACACACACGCACACACGCACACACGCACGCACGCACGCACGCACGCACGCACGCACGCACACACACACACACACACACACAAATATGTTTTCTTCTTTGCTTCCATAGGCAGCTGGCTCCACACTTTTCTCAAGAACCGTATCTATTAATCTACCATGGCACTCTCGATCACCAAGGGCCTTTGCGCTAGCCTCCGGTTCTTTGTGTTTGCATTTGTTTCAAACGGCCGTGCGTTGCTGCCTTGGATACTGTCAACATTTCGGGGCGCTCATGATCGCCATGGGGCCCCTTCATGTCGACATTGTTTTTCCAATCTTCTCGGAGGCCATGCGCTCCTGTTATTATGCAGGGACACTCATGACAGTTCAGGGCCGGTCTTAATTGCCATAGCGTTATTCCCATTTGCTTCCACTGGCGGAGGGCCCCGTGCACCTGTCCGAGCCACTTGCTGTTGATCTGTCAGGAGGATACAGATTTCTCAGGAGCCGGCAACATTGGTCTTCGGTTCTTTATTTTAGCTCGGAGGATCCCACACTGTTGCCAGGGATCCTATACGTTCATCTGCAGGACACTGGATCATACGAGGTCCCTCCACATTCGTCTTGAGTCATTCCTGTCTACTCGGAGGGCCATGAGCTTGAGCCGGGGGCCGTATGGTAACTCGGTGGGGACGACATATGGCAACTCGGTCGGTACTCAAGTGAAAGGACAATGGCCGAGGCAACTGCAGTGCGCAAAAGGCGAACACCAGCAAGGTTAGTTGTTTTCGTCTATCCGGTTTGTGGTCTTACGGCTACTTTGGTGCATTCAAGTTTTCTGAGGCATACAGATTGAAAATACCCAATGGTTCATGTGACTTATATCGAAATGCCTCCACTTTCCAGCGATTGGGTGCTGTTTTGTGCAGCTTCTCGGGTTTATGAAATGGTGAGACTGACCATTTGTTGATATATATATATATATATATATATATATATATATATATATATATGTATATATTTATAACTATAATTTCCGTAACACTTTTCCACGCAAACCCAACAGTTTCAATGGGTCACGAGAAGTGCCTGTAAAGAGAAGTTGTCAGTGGTATTATATCATGCTTAGCAATATGAGATCTGAAGCAACCAATTTTATTAGACTTGATGACAAACAATGCAAAAAAGCGAAAGCCGGAGCCAACATAAAATGCAAAAGGGCAAATATTATGTTTTTGTATCTGAGAAACAGAGGTGGCATTCTTGAAAGAGGGACTCACTCCAATTTTCTGCCCTTCTCCTTTCCTCTCCGAGTTGAAACTGACGTAATGCATAGTTGCTACAGAAATTCCGTACTTGAGGTATGCTGGTTGCTGCTTGCCTGGCTCAACCACCATTATCGTGTGCACTAGATGACACTAATAAGGTACCCGATGTGCGTGCGTTGTAAGTATACGCGTTAAGTTGGGAAAGACACTGAAAAATGCAGTCTGAGTTTTATCTAATATCCGCACTTTAAGTCGGGTCAGCACGGCGGCACGGCGGCCATTTGCTGGCCAAATCTCTAGCGGGTCGAGGACTGCGGCTGGCATTCGGGGAGCCTAGTCTCCATTGATCTCCCGTCATTTATGTTCCCCATCGCAGCCACTGATCTGAACACGAAAAGGTCGAAGGAAGGCCCGCAGACCCTTCCATCAGTCCTTCGGATGAACAGTCCAGCGTCAGTGCGTTCTTTCCCGCAAACGAATCGCGCCACGGTACAGATGAAAATTTTCGATGTTGATTGTTTGCCGAACTGCAAATGGGTCACACATTCTGTTCGGTGCATGTGCGGTACCAAACCGCAATCGTCAACCGTATGCATGTTAACCTTACTATAGCCATTCCCAATTTATCTATCCAGGATATTTTCCCCGACACCATTTTTTAAGGCGGATGGTTTCGCAGACGTCCTTCAGCAGCACGCATATTTCTGTCGCCTTTCATTGTCTTCTCATATCATCCGATCTCGCTGAACGAGGCTACGGCTGATTTTTGCCCTGTAGTTGGCTCAATTGTCAGCCGTCGGCTCGTTTTCCTCAAGCGTCTTTCCTGCGCCCATCTTTCGCCACAGGAAGCTTTTTCATGGCGATAGCTATCACTGCCCAAACGCGATTGAATGCTAAGTTCCGCCGGCAGTTGTCGCGCGATCGCGTCACATTTATCGCACATTGGTGTGACCGTGGACGTGATGTGGGGATGGCGACCTGCAGGCAAGCTTCGGCAGGGGCAGGCTCCAGGTTACTGATTCAAAATACGCAGGTTATTCAGGTCCGTTTGGTCCTGAAAGCGGACGCTCGCAGGACGTCTTTCCATGTCCGTGCCCTGGGTGCGCTCCTGCCTGAGCCGGGTTGCAAGAACCACTGTCAGGGCGGGTCAGGCAGGGGAATTTCTGAGGCTGGAGGAAGAACGGAGCTGGGCGGTCCGATCGGCCGATCGGCCGAAAAAGAATTCAGCACATTCACTGAGTTCTACTCGGAGTAGAGCGTGCCGGGCCTCGCCGAACAACAAACACAAACGGGTGTCAGTGTGCTGCTCGGTTCTTTATAAACCTATGTGGAAAATCGACGAAGTAGGAATCAATAGAACAGGGAGTGAAAATTGGAAAATATGTAAAAGCATGATGACAAGACCACATTTCAACCAGTACGATGCAGGAACTTCTGCACACATTAAAAGATAGGCGAGGCAAGGCAAGGCAAACGTATCGTGAAAAAGTCCACTGTTCAAAGGTAACTGAATCTATATACATTTTCAGACGTCATGAACGTCCTATACCGAGAAAATATCCGCAAGCCCTGCAATCAATTTTTCTATGCTATAACAACGTTGACAGGTAACGATATGACGAACGTACATATCACATCTTTGTGAATGTAACGCGCATGTCATGATGGGAAGATATATTGTGGTAAAAAAAACACCGTAATACGATACTGATGCATCACAGCACGAAAATATACCATAGAGCCGACCGTTTTTCAAATTTGACAGTTTATTTTCTAAATTGCACCAAACTTTAAATCTAGAGCCCTGGTGCGGGTGTCGCATCATCTGCAGACGTGTCTTGAAGCTGCGTGTACTGCCTATGCTTTGACAAATAGTGGCCGCACAGTTACTTGCTCAAAGCAGTCTTTGAATCAACGTTTCCATCCGATAAGACAGTAGTATCAGTCCTGTTCCTCGGAGAAAAACCAGGAGAATGGAAATATAGTTGGATTAATATTTCGGCAACATGCCTCTATCGAAATAAGAGCAGCAGTCATGCAACGTGTCTTCATCGTTTCGAATATAGCAGAAGCCATTTGCAGAGGGCAGGCAACATGCATTTTTCATTTCGATAAAGGCATCTTGCCAAAATATCAACCCAACTATTTCTCCACTCTCCTGGTTTTTCTCCGGGGTATATGGTTAATACCACTGTTTTATCTATGTGAATAATTTTCCTCGCTAATGCACTGAACAAATTACATAAAGCTCCCACTAGGCATGGTCTGTTGTGTGGAAACCATTCCTGCCATCCAGGAAGACCAGCCTCTGTTGTAATGGGTGTTCTTAGCATGCACACGGC